TACGAGATGGGGGTGCCGATGGGCTTGGCTCCTGGGGCCTGCCTGTCAGGAGTCACTACCCTGCTGGTAAGTTCCCGACGTACTAGAGGAAGTCACTCCTGGTAAACAGTATCCAGGACTGCTGTTCCCTTTTCCCTCCTCCCCCACGTCCTGCTCCTCCCCCGCCTGCGCATCAGGCAGGCTCCTCCAGATCCGTCACAACCTCCGCCTCTATCTCCCCGTTCTCCTCCTCTATTTCCCCCTTTTGCTCCCACTATTCCTCCTGCTCCTCTATTTATCCTCCTTCTCCTCCATTCCCCCTTCTCCTCCGCCTTCTTCTCAACCTTCTCCTTCGCTGTTTCCCCCTTCTGTTCCCACCATGGGGGTGTCATGCAGCGCCGCGGGTCGCCCCCCGACCGAAGATCCGAGAAAACGGATCCCGCCGGGAGGAATGGCGCGACGGCATCGCCAATGCGGCCCGACGGAACCGCCGCGGCATGGAAGATTTGTCCAAGGACCGACCACAACGGTGTTTACAACGCGATGTCGGTTAGAACGAACAACGCGTTTAACCCAACCGTTGTACAACGAACAATTACAACGAAACCGGCCCAAACGAGAACGAACAACGAAACGAGGTAACAACGAAACGAAATTTGCAGACCGGGCTAAACACAAAACGAACAGCGAAACGACGCATGGGGCGACGGCTGGGGCCAGGGCGATGCTCTGGCTGGGACCAGGGCGATGCTCTGACTGTTGCAATGTTCCCGATCTTTCATGTCTTCTCCGAAAACCACACTGATCATGGCAACGCGCCTGGGCATAACTTAAGGATGTGTTCGGCTTCCCACTGGCCCTTCTGGGCGGCTGTCTCAATGCGCACGACTGCTCCCCTGGTAAAAAAAATTAAAGAGCGCTCGCTTTCGCAAACTCATCCGCCCCCCTGCGCATCAGGCCCCTCCAGATCGGCGGTGGACAAACCTCCCTTTAGTAGACCTCCCCTTAGTGAAAACGGCCTGGGACCGAAACCGACGGACCTGCACCCGCAAAAATGACGGCCGCGACGCCCTCTCGCGACCCGAAGACGGCCAATTCCTTAATCGACGTGTCAGGGTAGGTCTATCAACCTCCGACCAGATCCGTTGGAACTCCCTCCTCCACCTCATCCACCGCAATGTCCAGCTTCTGCTCCCAGAACCAGGATGTCCGGAAGCTCCGTGGGCCGCCCCCCCCCCACACCGGAGCTCCGAGAACTTCTCCTGTTGGGAAGGGTGGCGCGATGGAACCGCCTACGCGGCCTGGCGTAGCCACCGCGGCATGGGAACGTGTGCGCATGACTCAACATCTGGTCCCGATGCTGCAGGCGTGTTCCGACACCATCTTGATCACGGCAGCATGTGTTCCCGATCCTTCCTGCGTTCTCCGGCGCTACATTGATCATAGCAACCTGCCTGGTGATCATTTCTGGCAGTGACCGGTGCTCCACCGATCTTTCAGGGCGGCTGGTTGCAACTCGCCTGGCAATCGCTCCTACCAGTCCTGGATACAACGCAAGCCGCGTGCCCCGTCCTGGACGCAACACAGAGACACGGCCCATGAATCTTTTAGACTGGAGATCACTGCAAGATAATTTCATGGACTCATCCCAGAAGACTCAAATAAGGCCGGGGCGGCGAGAGAACACTTCTTCAGCCATTCAGCAAATGTGCCTGCCGCTTTTGCGGCTCCCGACATGCTCCCAAGAAAACCGTTTCACTGCAAGCTTCTACACTGCCCTGGTTCGAGCAGCTCCCCTGGCAATTGTTTCTAGATGGGTTGGAAGGGATACACGAAACGTTAAACATTGGGCAACGATAGTGGCGAAGGATGGGCCGAATATTCAAGGATGACAAGGTGCCCCAGGAAAGCTTCTCATCCCTATGATCCTCTTGGTTGTAGCCATGCCACCAGGGCAGGCTCCATGGGCACGACATGCCTCGCCTGCTTGTTCTTGCCAGCCAACCTCGTCCGAGATCCCAGCAGGATCCCTGTAGGACCTCTCGGATTCCAGAGCACATTGCGGAACACTCCGACCAATCGCGCCCATCGTTCGCCCAGAGATGTTCTCCCGACTCCTACCCCGTGAGGTCGCCCCGTAACGTGAAATGCGAGGTCGGCCAGGCCCCCGTGGCTGGGTCACGGTGACGTGGCGGGCTCGGGCACGGCAGCAACAAAGACGAGGCTGGCAGCAGTGCGAACGGAAGTCGCAGTACTGGCAGCGGCCACGACGAGGACGAGGACCAACGGCGATGACAACGACAACGACAACGACGACGACGACGACGACGACGTCGTTGTCGTCCTCATGAGCGCCCCGACTCCCCCTGTTTCCTGTGGCCTATGGGCACCGCAGCAGACTGGAAACGCCACAGCATGCCTGTGAGCATCAAACCGTGTCTGCCTGTGAGCAAAGACGGACGAGGAGGAGAAGGAGAAGGAAAAGGAGGAGAACACCGACGAGGAGGAGGAGGCTCCGAGGAGGAAGGAGGAGGAAGGGGAGGAGGAGGAGGAGGAAGGGGGGGAGGAGGAGGAGGAGGAGGAGGAGGAGGAGGAGGAGGACGATGAAGATGAGGAGGATGAGGAGGAGGGGGAGGGGCGACACTGAACCAAATCGCCAAAGCATCCCGCAGCCCACGCCTGTCTGCGGGCCGGGCGAAGGGAAGTGATGTGGCCAGCATGATGGGTCTGTTTTCCACCACCACCACCAGAAGTTGGAGGGGGAGGGGTCCCCCGCCTCGTCCTCCTCCACCTCCTCCTTCTCCTACTCCACCTCGTCCTCCTCCTCCTCCTCGTCCTCCACCTCCTTCCCTCCTCCAACCTATGGTGGTGGTGGTGGTGGAAAACAGGCCCATCACAGCACTTGCCCAGGAGGACACCTGTCCTGTCAGCGGCGGCGCGAGGCAGAGCGAACTGGGCAACGGAACTTATCGACAGGTAATATAAAGGGGAGCGGCCGCTGGGGAGCCCAGAGGTGAGGAGCAGCGTTCGGGGGAAGCGGGGGGGAGCTGCTCTAGGGGAACAAAGTGACATAAACATAAAAACTCGGAGGTCCGCGCCGATTTCTCGGATCGGCGTTGGACCCCCCTCCCTGGCGCGCGGAGCGCGCCAGGGGCGGCGCCGGAGGCGCCGCCGGGGAGCCCCAGCGCCGATCCGAGAAATCCGCGCTGACCTCTGTTCCCCTATGCTCGGGGGGGAGGGGACATCGAGCGGCACTGACTGGCGACAGCCATTGGCCGACTGACTGGCGACAAATGTGCCCCCCATGAGACGAATCCCCGCACGCTGGGTATTAAAAACGGCACTGTACGGTCAAAAAACCCTAATAAGGACGCGCGGTAAGGACGTCAGACCCTTGGAAGCCAAAGTTGGGATTTTTTGGGCGGCGGGCGACGAAAACCCCAAGGACGCAAGAGCAAGGACGAGCAAGGACGCAAGGGTACCCTGAGCAACGTCGCGCGTCCTTGTTAGGGTTTTTGACTGTATCCCCCCCCCAACATTGCCCCTGGCGGTTTCTGGGCCACAGCTCGGACCTCCAGCGGCCGTTCGGGAAGAGCCTGGCACCCACGGAAAACGCCCTCGGCCAGGCGCAAATCCGCTGGAACGCAGCAGCACGGGGCGGAAAAGCCGCCGAGAACCCACGAGAAAATCCAGAAGCCCTTCCCTAGGGGATCCCACGGATTTCTCGGATCGGCGCTGGACCCCTCTCCCAAGCGCGCGGAGCGCGCCAGGGGCGGCGCTGGAGGCGCCGCCGGGGGGCCCCAGCGCCGATCCGAGAAATCCGCGCGGACCACCGAGTTTTTATGTTTATGCCACTTTTTGTTCCCCTATTCCCCCCTGAGCCCGTCGCCCTGACGCCGCCCCCAGCGAGAGGTCCCTGGGCTCCTGCAAGAACTGAGCACACTCTGAGGGTGGAGGGCTCGGGGTGAAATCCATGTGGGCTCCTGCGCCTCGGAGATCAGTCCTGCTTGTGCTTCACCCTCTTGCAGACCCGACCCTCTTCACCCCCTGCCGTCTGTTCTGAATGGGGCCCTGGGACACACAAGTAAAATAGACACAACTAGCAGGATTCCCCCATGTCTTCCCCTGTTTCCTGAATTTTTGTCTCCCCCCACTTCCCATCTTTTCCTGCGAGTCGAGGATTCACTGTGTCTGTGTGCTCATTGTCCCCTCCTGAGCCAGGCCGGGCGAAAGGGGGGGATAGTAAAGGGAGAGTTTGAGAATCAGCTCGCGTAGCTGACTCTCCCGGCGCCTCCCGGCGCCGGAGGCGACCATGTATCGAGGAATGGACCCGGCGGCAGGGCCGAAACCAGCTGCATGCAGCAGATTTCGTAACCCCCCCTTTCCCAATCCCCCCCATTTCGTCCGGCCCGACTGAGGTTCGCATGTGGCCCCCCTGAGCAACACAGCCGAAGTCCAGCAACGCGGCGCTCAGGCCCCGCCCTGCCGTCCGTTCTCCGAGGAGGAGGAGGAGGAGGAGGAGGAGGAGGAGGAGGAGGAGGAGGAGGAGGAGGAGGAGGAGGAGGGAGGAGAGGAGGAGGGAAGAGGAGGGAGGAGGAGGGAGGGAGGAGGAGGAGGAGGCAGGAGGAAGGAGGGAGGAGGGAGGAGAGGGAGGAGGGAGGAGGGAGGAGGAGGCAGGAGGAAGAGGAGGGGAGGAGGAGGAGGCAGGAGGAAGAGGAGGAGGGAGGAGGAAGAGGAGGGAGGAGGGAGGAGGAGGGAGGGAGGAGGGAGGAGGGAAAAGGAGGGAGGAGGAAAAGGAGGAGGAGGGGGAGGAGGGAGGGAGGAGGGAGGAGCAGGAGGAGGGAGGAGGAGGGAGGGAGGAGGAGGAGGGAGGGAGGAGGAGGACGGGAGGAGGAGGAGGCAGGAGGAAGAGGAGGAGGAGGAGGGAGGGAGGGAGGGAGGGAGGAGGGAGTGAGGAGGGAGGAGGAGGGAGGGAGGAGGGAGGAGGAGAGGAGGGAGGGCGGCGGCCGGGCGGGCGGCGCGCTGGACAGCCGCGGCAGGGCCGCCGCCGGCCTGCCGGGCTGGCGCGCGCAGGCGGCCTCGGCGGGCGGCGCGTCGCCGCGCTCCTGGCGCGGGGCTCGTCGTCGTCGTCGTCCGTCGTCGTCGTCGTCGTCGTCGTCGTCGTCGTCGTCGTCGTCGTCGTCGTCGTCGTCGTCGTCGTCGTCGTCGTCGTCCTCGTCTCGTCCTCGTCGCCCTCGTCGTCGTCGTCGTCCTCGTCGTGGTCCCTCGTCGTCGTCGTGGTCCCTCGTCGTCGTGGTGGTCCGTCGTCGTCGTCGTCCGTCGTCGTCGTCGTCGTCGTCCGTCGTCGTCGTCGTCGCCCGCCGTCGTCCACGACGAGTGGGGGGGGCTCCTCTCGCGAGCGGCGGACGTGAGGCTGGACCTGGGACGATGACGATGCCGACAACGATGACGAGGGCCGACGATGACGACGACGACGACGGCGGCGACGACGATGGCGATGACGATATGTTCCTCTTCGTGTTAGAGCGCGAACACTCTGTGACCAAAAGGCTGGCCGGACCTGGGACATCTTTCAAGAGCACGAGGCCCTCCGCAGGCCAAGCCGAAGAGCATTCGAGGATACCCTCCCCAAGGGTGCACAGGCCCATCGAAACATTTTTTTACGTCGGCGGCTGGGCAAAGTAACTGCGCTGGCGAAAGAGAAAACATCCAAACAAACACGAGGAACATGAGGGTGCCCTCCCCGAACGGACCTCGATCTTATACCTCGTCTGACCGTTTCCTCCCTCAGGGGGTCTCATGTAAGCTGTCTTGGAGGGTTTTGCGGTGTCTGGGCAAAAGGCCGCCGTTTCTTACGAAATTTGGAGTAGCCTCCCGCGGGGGATCCACACGAGACCAACGATATCTCAGCGGATACCTCTTCCTCCTCTTCCCTGGATCCTCGACCCACGGTGCCCCCGGAGCCGCGCGCGAGGGCAAGCCTCCGCCGCACGAGCGGCGAGCATGCCCGTACCCGGGCCCTCGCAGTCTGGATCGGGGCTCGAGCCAAACCGTGTGGCTCGTTTTCGTTTTGCTTCCGTTCTCATGCGGTCTGACTTCGTTCTGCCCTTGCTGCACAGGGAAATCGAGACGAAAACGCTCCACAGAATTGGCCCAGACACCATTTTCACTCGAGCCCTGGTCTGGATTCTGGGGCCCTTCGAGCCTCTCGTCGAAGCTCGAGCCTGGACCGAATCGAGGCATCGGATCGCATGGACATGTGCGTCGCATCGGGCTGCATCGGCGCGGAGTCGGGATCCAAGCGCATCGGCGCGGAGTCGGGGGGAAGGGGGTTCTCAAAAACGACGAACCGTGGATCGGCCGCGCCAAGAGACGGAACAGCGCCATGCAACACGTCGGGTCGCATCGGATCGGAGGGCAATCGGAGGAATCGGATCGGATCGGGCCGGCCCGGAGGAAGATCAAGAGGCAGCTTCCGGGAGGTCCTCTCACGAGCGGCGGACCTGTCCGTGCAGTCAGAAACCCTAAGAAGGACGCGCGGCAAGGACGCAGGACCCTTGGAAGCCGAAGAGTTGTGATTTTTTGGGGGGTACCCTGAGCAAGTCGCGCGTCCTTCTTAGGGTTTTTGATTGGATTTTCGACGGAAAATCAAAACATACCCCAAAAAAGGCGAAACATATTCAAAAAATAGTTCCCTGCGCCCTCGCGGTCTGGACTTGAGGAGGCCGCGGCTTGCGTTCGTCGAGGCGACCCCGCCCTGCGCTGAAAAGGGCGCGCGGGACAGCCGCGGGGCAGCCGCGGGGCAGCCGAAGCAAAGCGGGCTCTTGGGCGGCATCGCCGCGGGACGCCGCGACATAGCCGCAGCAGCACGACTGAGGACGGCTGCGCAGCTGCAGCACTGCTGTAGCACAGCGACGGGGTAGCATGTCGGCGACACAGGGACGATCTTCCACGAAGGGGATATCCATAGGAACTACATCCTTGACAGGAACAGACACGGTCACGGACCTGGCGGACACAAAAAAAGGAAAGCAACGTGGAGGGCGAACGACAAGAGAGCGCCGAGACGGCACAATATGCACACGCAAGTCCGGGCATATATAACTCGGTGTGAAACGGCAGGTGCATGTGCAATTGAATGCATGCCCTGGTTGTTGAACAGGTGTAGGAAATTCCGGGGCATGTGATCTCTTACAAACATCAGTAAGAACAGGCGTCGGTAGGTCGAAACGGCGAGACACACATGGCCAATAATTGGAGGGCAGTGTGGAAACGCATGCGCGCGCGAGAAAACGCGCGCAACTGAACACGCACACACGAGAACGCGTGCGTGAATACAATGGCGCGCACATGAACTTTCACTGGAAGCGATCGGCGTGAATGGACTCAGGGAATCGCTTTGCCCCCCCATGCGTCGCCCTCTTCCTAAAACCATGGGTCTGAAGCTCTTCCCCCGCGATGGGCTAGAGCGCCTAAGATGGCCCAAAATGGCTCCGCGACGGCCCCAGAAAGCCCATGATGACCTCAAATATGACTCATGAGCACCCAACGTCGTTCAAGATACCTTCCAATTTGCCTCCGAAATGCCCCGCGGCCGCCCCAAGGCGGCTCCAAGTGGCCACGGCGCTCCCCCAGGAGGCCCCCGGGAAGCCCAACTCCTTTAATGACAATACTATGAACAAGTTGGTGTCGCCTTCTCGTTGTTCCGAGCAGTGTCCGCAGGCAGCAATGCAACTATAATGATGATACCGACTGTGTGGGGCCGGACGGAGTGCCGCGTGCCGCTGGTATTGGCGACCGAAAACACATGTTCAAGTGTAATATGACAGCGCCAGACTGCGCCGGGACAGCCGCGGGACAGCCACGGGACAGCCGCGGGACAGCCACGGGACAGCCGCGGGACAGCCGCGGGACAGCCGCGGGACAGCCGCGGGACAGCCGAAGCAAAGCGGGCCGTCGGGCAATAAAGCTGCGGCCCGGGCCAGTAAAGCCGCGGCCCGCCGCGGGACAGCCGCGGGACAGCCGCGGGACAGCCGCGGGACATCCGCGGGACAGCCGCGGGACAGCCGCGGGACAGCCGAGGCGCAGGCGAGGCAAACATGAGGCCAAAATGCTATGGGAGCACTGGGAATGGCCTTCAATCGAGTTGTCTGGCATTGAAGATTATCCATGGTTCGGATGACGAGGAAGGGAGCGAAGGAGGTAGGAGGGGGGCGAAGGAGGGAAGAGGGAGGAGGGAGGAGCGAGGAGGGAGGGAGGAGGGAGGATGAGGGAGGAACGAGGAGGGAGGGACGAAAAGGGAGGAGGGAGGACCAAGGAGGGATGAAGGGTGGAGGAGCCATAGCAAAGAAACGAATGAGTGAACCCGACGTCGGGGTCACATAAGCCCCCGCCATCAAAGTGCATACTGGGGCTGTTCTTGTGGGGGGTGATTGCCGTGGGAGGGAGTCCAAGGGCGCGGGATGAGCGGGAAGGTTTTTTGCTGATGATTTCTATGTGCTTGTATTGAAACAAAACGGACTGTCATTTTCCCGCACAACCAAAATAGCAACAAACGAACGGGGGAAAGGCGCGCGCCACCTGCATCTTACGGGCGATCCCGCTGGACGCCCGTGAGCGCGAAAACCGCGAAGAGACCCGGACCGACGAAAAGCGCGAGAGACCCTAAACCTTGCAAGATCTTGCAGTGCCCACCCAATCGGCCAGGGCAGACGAAGGCGCCCGTGCGGGGCGCGCGCATCATCACAGCGACAACAAAAAACACGCCATGTCCTGAAGCTCGCAGAACGCATCATGGAGCGATGGCGCACGCACAGATCCGCAGTCGAATCGGGTTGCAGCTCGCACGGGCTGCGCTAGAGCAGACCGGCGCGCCCGACACTCAAACGCGCCGAAGCTCTAGCTACTCGCGCACGCAGAAAAGCTGCTCGTTCAATGAAAAAAGCCACGCTCGCAGGAAAGCTGCTCGCCCACAGGGCACGGCTACATTTCGGCTTTTCTTGGACGGAATTATGCGAAGGGGGGGGTCAGTTTAAGCCGCGGCCTCCTCATCTGGACTCCCCGGCGGCGCGGCCAGGGCGAAGTGCGAGGGGCCTGGCCTTCTCAGGAAGGGGCCGGGCTTTCCAGAGGCCCTCTGGCCTGTTGAGAAGCTGTCTCTGTCCTGGCTGAGCGACCAGTTTTGGGGGCCCCCGTGTCGGCCTCTCTCGAGCCCTCCACGAGCCCCCGGGCTGTCAAAAAGCGACTCGGGATGAGAAGCCGAAGTGGCCCACGCCTCCGAGAGAACGAGTTTCGTAGACGCTTGCCTGCGAAGCATCCAGCGTCACGACGTCGGATCGGGGGGGGGGGGGGCAAAACTTTCAGCAAGCCCAAGACACCGCCCCTCCCACCCCCCCTGGACACCGGCCTCTCGGCGGCGGACAAACCTCCCTTTAGTAAACCTTCCCTTAGTGAAAACGGCCTGGGGCCGAAACCGACGGACCTGGACCCGCAAAAATCACGGCCGCGACGCTCTCTCGCGAACCGAAAACGGCCAATTCCTTAATCGACGTGTCAGGCTAGGAGGTGGATCCACCTCCGAGCCTCTCTAACTGGGGAAGGGGGGACCTCTCCCCCTTCAAAGGGGAGGGGAGGGGGGCAGGGGTTCGATCTGGGTGTCCCATCTCTCTCTCTCTCTCTCCTTTTCCATGGGGAGGGTGGTCGAACCGGGGTACGATCGCCCTGACCATCTCCATACGCCAACGACGACGCCATTGCAAAAAACACTGACGGCGACGACGACGACGAAAATGTCGACGACGGCGGCAAAGTCAGCAGCGGCGGCCACGGCAACGACAACGACAACGCCAACGACGACGACGACGACGACGACGACGACGACGAGGACGACGACGACGACGACGACGACGGCTCGATCCAGTTTGCAGAACATCCTATCACGGTTGGATCCTGTTCTGATGGAACGGTACTATTTCTATCGTACTACGCCTCGATCCAGCTCTAATGACATCCCAGTGGGGCTCGACCCACCACTACTAGCACCCTACTGCGGCTGGATCCCGCTTTAATGGCATGTTCCCCAATATGGATCCAACTATAGTATAATCCT